TTACAATGTGGACTCAGAGCAAAATGGTGGCTAGCCAAAGGCCACACTGTTTGTAAGACATGGAGGCTGGATGCCACCTTGGCTTATGGGACTCCAAAAATCATGTGGACATAAGATACAAGTACTGGCAGTGGATAGGTAAGGAAATACAGAAAGGCAAAGGTGCATGGGAGTTTAGATGATGTAGAGAAACATATGAAGAGTGGTGCTTTATTTTTTTCAAAATACTTACGCTCACGTTCACAATGTCTCTTCCCTTGTTAGTATCTCAAAGTTGTCCTAGGTGCTAAATTTTCCTTCTAACCTTTAGAGACCAGAGGTCTTAAGAAGTTTGGGAAGGATCAAGAAAACAAGGCCGGGCACAGTGACTCACGCCTGTAATCCCAGTACTTTGGGAGACCAAGGCGGGTGGATCATGAAGTCAGGTGTTCAAGACCAGCCTGCCGACATAGTAAAACCCGCCTCCACTAAAAATATAAAAAATTAGCCAGGCGTGGTGGTGCGTTCTTGCAATCCCAGCTACTCAGGAGGCTGAGGCAGGAGAATCACTTGAACCTGGGAGGCAGAGGTTGCAGTGAGCCAAGATTGCGCCACTACACTCCAGCCTGGGTGACAGAGTGAGACTCCAACTCAGAAGAGAAAAAGAAAATGAGCTTAGATGATACATAACCAGCAGCCATCCACCCACGAGAAATTCCAATCACCATACAGAAGTATTCCATGAAATCTGTAGTTGCTATTTTCACAGCTGCCCTCTACCTGGCACCGATAAAGCTTGGACTGGACACTACAATTTTTCCACACATGCCTCAAAAGAACCAAATGCTTCCACCACCTTGCCTTTCAAAAGAGTTCCTTGGCCATGCTATATGGTGCTTGCTTCTGCCTTCCCAATCTCCAGTGTTAATATATCCCCTTGGCAGACATGAAGAATACCAGCTACAAGTGAATCCGGGTAATGTAGCATTTAACATCCCTGTCTTTGGGGCACTGGAAGGCAACTAGAGGCAGTTAAGAGTGGTGTTGAGCAAGTCTGCTTGGTGATACATAATAGGGAACTACTTTTTAGATTCCCACCCTTTTTAACAAATTCATGTCTTCTGCAAACTCAGGAGATTATTCCTGAGTGCATTCCCTAAGGAAAGGTGTTCAGAACTAGTGCCATCTCAAGGTGTTTGTTCTCTTCTAATATAGTTACAAAGCAATGAATGCTCAGGGTATACGTCATCGGTCTTGTATTTTTCCTACAACTTGTTTCCACAGCAATTAAAAGCTTGAGGTTATTTCGTTGTGTTTTTCATGTTTACAAAAATACTGGTGGTGTTGAAAGGACAGATGAATAGGCTCTCTAAGTGTGGCACAGAAACCAAGGGCAGAACTTTCAATTCCACAAAGCAGCTCACAAATTCTCCTTTATTGCCAGCACAATCTGCCTCTGGCTTTAAAAACAATAACTGAATCTTTTCATTTTTCTCTCTTAAAAAAAAATGTGTTCCTGTTCTCAAAGAGACAAATTATCATTTTTTCCTATGCTTCCAATAATTTATTAATCTCAGAAGCCAATTATTAGAAGGAAGAGGATATCACAGAAAGAAAACATGAACTATAGATTTGGGAGATAAATGAACAGAGGGAAACTCAAGGGTATTTTAAAGTTACTACTGATTTCTTCACCAGTGTGAAAAACCAAAGGTTTACAATTCCTAAATTAAGGCCTTGAGGTAACATTAGAACATTTTATATTTATCTGTACAAGTGGACATTGTATATTTATCAGCCACTTGTGTGGGTGACTCCTAAAATTACCACTAAAAAGAAGATTTATACTTTAGGAGTCTCTCTTGCCTCTGTTTGAGCCCTAAGATATCATGGTCAATGGCACCATCCTAAAATCTATTTTTACCAGCTATAATTGTTAAGGAATAATTTCCTAGGTATAATTTTTACACAGAAATAGCACAAAATTAATATAACAATTTGATGATTTTGTACATATGTATAAACTCATGTTACCATCATAATCCAGGTTATAAATATATTCATCACCCCCAAAAGTTTTCTTGTCTGCCTTTGTGGTTTTGTGCATGGAGGAGAGTAAGAACACTTAATATGAATTTACCCCTCCTAACAAATTTTAGATACATAATACCTTATTGTTAACTATAGGTACTGTGTTGTATAGCCAATAAGGCCAAAATTCTTGTATTGTGTATGCATCTATCCATACGGCTCCAGAATTAATGGGTGCCTCCTCCACTTGCTTGCCCTTTAAAGATGCACAGAGCTAGCCATGCCTTGTAGAGGAATTATTTGGCCAACCCACTTCCCCTTGCTTGGAACCAACCATGAAATAATTAGAACACTGCCTTATCCTTTTCCATTATGTTTCTGGAAATTAGGGCAAAATAGGAGGCTAGAGGAAGCATAAAATAAAAGCTAGACTTCAGGACACAGGAAAGCTTAGAGAATAACTGTTTCGGGTGTCCTCTGATCAATGCCATTTAATCTGGCACCTTTTGGTTTGTGCATCTGTTCATGATCCCGATTCTTTATATTCTTGCTTAATCCTGGATCCTTCTCAGAATACTTAGTCTAGCTTTAGAGAAAAAGCTTAAGCAATTAACTACATTGCAATGTGGAATGTGGTCAATACCTAAAACATGTACAGGTAAAGCACTATATATAGGAATTCAGAGAGGTTACTATATATGCTTGAATACAAGGCAAGTCATTTTTCTACAAATTACCTCTCCCTTATATTGCATTCCTCATACATTGTGTCACACTACATGTTCCATCAATAAATATACTTTGAACAACAAACTACTATTCCAGAAAAACATATTAGCCTAAACACAATCTCAGGTAGACAAGGTACTCAAGGCCTTAATTTGGGAATTGTAAACCTTTGTTTGTTCACATTGGTGAAGGAAATCAGTAATAATTTTAAAGTACCCTGGAGTTTCCCTCTGCTCATTTATCTCCCAAATCTATAGTTCATGTTTTCTTTCTATGATATCCTCTTCCTTCCTTGGGTCTCTTACTTCAGGGTACATCAGAATCAACTGGAGTGTTTTTTAAAATACAGATTGCTGAGCCCCATCCTAAAACTTTGAGGTCTAGAGTGAGGCTGAAGCATTCATAGTTCTAACAAATACCCAAGTAATGCTCATGCTGCTAGTCTGAGGACCTTATTTTGAGAACCACTGCTCTACTAATAATGGTTTCAAATCAGTGGTTCTAAACTCTTGTTGCACATTACAATTCTCTGGGGAGATTTCACAAACTAAAATTCCAAGGCTGCATCCCAGATCAATCAAATTAGAACACTGGGGAGAGGACCTCAGGGTGCCTTGCTTATAGTTTTTATGCTCTTCAAGTAACTCTAGGCTCCAGCTAGGGTTGAAAACACCTGTTTTAAATCAGTATCAACCAATTTCAGCTAAAATAATCAGGGTATTTTCCTATATTACAAGTCACTAAGAAAAAATAATAATTAGTTTTTTAAAGAGGAAAACATACTTGGCCTAAACTCAGTAAATAATCTTAGGGTATGTGGCTTTACATGTGCAAATGATGATATATGGTTCATTTGTGGAAATCACTAATATATGCCTAAAGGAAAGAATGGAAAATAAAGAAATGAAACACTCTTCTAATCATACAGGATTTTTGCAGCTTGAGTTAAAGCTTCTAGTAGCAGCATTACAGGAAGTGGTATATTTGGGACAACATAAGTGAAAGCAAAGATAGCGTCTTCTGGAAAATCATGTTGGAGAACCAAAATGAGTGATCTTAGTGATCATAAAGATAATGATACTGAAGGCATAGGTGCCACATTTGAGTAACATTGTTTTAAAAAAGTGAAAATAGCACAAAGCAATATTTCTAAAATAACTGAGGTTTTATAAATGTGATTTTAAATATGCATGTGTAACTTTTTGATACATTTGATATTGTCAGTAGACTATATATACGTGTGTGTGTGTGTGTGTGTGTGTGTGTGTGTGTGTATAGTCATGTGGATTGGTCAAATGTATTGAGTACTAGCAATACAGATATGAAGCCATCGTTTAGAATCATCTTTGAAAGTGTATTTGAAATATATTCAAATATATTCTAAATATTTGAATATCTTCAAAATATATTTGAGTTGGCCAATTTTTTTTCTGAGACAGTGTTTTGCTCCTGTTGCCCAGGCTGGAGTGCAATGGCGTGATCTCAGCTCACTGCAATCACGGCATCCTGGGTTCAAGCGATTCTCCTGCCTCAGCCTCCCAAGTAGGTGGGATTACAGGCATGCACCACCATGCCTGGCTAATTTTGTATTTTTAGTAGAGATGGGGTTTCCCCATGTTGGTCAGGCCGGTCTCAAACTCCTGACCTCAGGTGATCTGCCTGCCTCCGCCTCCCAAAGTGCTGGGATTACAGGCATAAGCCACCGTACCCCGTCGGCCAATATTTTTTATTCTGTCCACTCATGAACTTGGATAACATCTCATGTCCAGTGATATAGAGAATTTTTGGCTAAAAGCATCAGGAATGTCTTCTGAAAGGGGTGGTATTTGAGCTAGCCTTCTTAAAATAAGTAGGCATTCATCAAATAACTAGAAAGTAGAAAGTTCTTCCAAACAGGAGAAACCACATGAGTTGTGGAATTGTGAAAAGAAAGCAAAAGGTGAGTAGTAAAAACGCCAAGATGAAAAAGTAATACACTGCTAAATGATGGTGACAACATCAAAAGATAAGGAAATTTTACTTTTATTCAGAGTATTTTCCAGATGATGCTTCCTCCAGTAACAGATCTCTGGAAACATCCTATTGCTCCTCACCCCTCTTCAGCCTTCACTTCTCTTCAGAAAAACTTGAAACTTTTGAAAATGATTCTAAATGATGGCTTAACATCTGTATTGCTAGTCCGCATCTGACATTCAAAAACTTTGTGTCATAGATTCCCATGAACAGTTAGAGATCTTAAAGCAGAAGATAACTTATCACATAAATTTAGTATTTCAATTATCTATTGCTATGTAACATGCATCCAAAAAATGCAGTGGTTTCTAAAATCAATATTATCTTTCATGATTGTTTATTAATGAAGTGTTTCTTCTGCCTCACACGGCATTGGCTAAGATACAGGGATATTTACAAAATTCAAAATGTTTACTGAGTTGTCAGCCAGAGGCTTTAGTTCTCCTGCAGGTGGGACTCTCCACATAGCTACTTGGGTTTCTTCACAATAAGGTAAATGGGGTCAAAGAATGACCATTCAGGACAGGAAGTGGAAGAAACACAGAACCATGGCCGCTATGGTTGCTGTTTGCGGTGGTCTAGGGAGGAAGAAGGTGACACAGCTGGTAACGGCTGCTATCAGCCTTACACATCCCAGGACTCACACAGTGCTGTGGAGAAGAGGATTTTCACAATATAAACAGATATCCAGCAATGAGGATCTGCCCATTCCAATGGAAAGCCCTTATAAAGAACCTCTTAAGAAATGTATTTTATGTGGAAAGCATGTAGATTATAAGAAGGTACAGCTTTTGGCTCAGCTTGTTTCACCATTTACTGGAGGCATTTATGGAAGGCACATTACAGGTCTTTGTGTGAAGAAAGAGAAAGAAATAACAAAAGCAATTAAGAGAGCTCAAATAATGGGGTTTATGCTAGTTACATACAAGGATCCTGCATATCTCAAGGACCCTAAAGTTTGTAACAGCAGATATCAGGAACAACTTCTATCATGTTACCACCAATAAACTTATTTTACAGCAAAGAATGACTATGCAAAAAGGTGAATGAGTAAGCTACAGATCTCTTAAGGCTCATCCATAGATGTTACGCAGTATCACTTGAGATGCATTCCATTCCAAACAGGTGAAAAAAAGCCGACTCTACCTTTCCTTAGAGGAGGGTCAAGATCACATTGCAAAGTGTATGTGGGATGTTAAATTTAGTTATGGCCATCTTTGAAAATACAATGTACCACACACACAGAAGTCGAGCCATTAACCAATAAGTGGGGATTTCAAGGGTTAGCAGTAAATGTGATGACAATATTGTATAAAATTATATAAATTATTACATTTAAAAATCATCTTAAAGCATAAAGAGAAATCGAAAATTAGCCCAGACTGAGAAGGTAAAGATCTTTACTATTCTTCATCAGGATGAGATAATATAGATAAAACCAGCTGCAATGTTGTCAGCTAAACAGTAGATGCTGGACCGTAATAATTCCAAGGAAGCAAAGTGGATCTGAGTTTTAATAAACAAATATATATATATTGACTTAATATATATTAAATATTTATATACAATTTTCTAGAAAATATTATATATATATACATTCATGTAATTTTCCAGAACACCTTTTGTGGTCATGTCTTTCTTATTCAACTTGATTGTGGTAGCATTGGTGATAGCAGCAGGAGGATAACAGTAGAATCTATTTCTTAAAATCATAACATTTTTATGGGGACTTCCAGTTTCCAATTCTGCACGTAAAGAATTTGGAAGTCACCACTTTGTCCTAACAAGTAAAAAGCTGAACAAACTGAAAACTCAACAATTCTTAGATCCGTAAGAGAAGTGTGGTCACAAGGCAAACTGCTGTCCCCAAGATTGAAGGGACATATAGGTGGATACAGAGAATTACAACATAGCAGAGCAGAAATCTTTTTGGGGACCAAAGCTGATACAGGAAAATCTGGACTGTAATTGACAATTGCTGTAGGCAGAGCATGAACAACTCTGAGAGTTAAGAACTCCAAGGTGGACTGGGCATGGTGGCTCAAACCTGTAATCCCAGCACTCTAGGAGGCCAAGGCGGGTGAATCACAAGGTCAGGAGTTCAAGACCATCCTGGCCAACATGGCAAAACCCCATCTCTACTAAAAATACAAAAATTAGCTGGACATGGTGGCATGCGCCTGTACTCCCAACTGCTCAGGAGACTGAGGCAGTAGAATCACTTGAACCCAGGAGGCAGAGGTTGCAGTGAGCCAAGATCATGCCACTGCACTGAGCCTGGGCAACAGAGCAAGACTTTATCTCCAAAAAGAAAAGAAAAGAAAAGCAAGGCAAAGAAAAGGAAAGGAAAGGAAAAAAAGAAAAGAAAGAGAAAAGAAAAGAAGCCACCTCTATAACATAAAAGCACAAGGTAAAGCAGCAAGTGCTGGTGTAGAAGCTGCAGCAAGTTATCCAGAGTATCTAGCTAAAATAATTGGTGAAAGTGGCTACGTTAAACAACAGATTTTCAATTTAGATTAAACAGCCTTATAGTAGACAAAGATGTTATCTAGGACTTTCATAGTTAGAGAGGAGAAGTCAATACACATATGAAAAGATGGTAACTTTAATCAGAGTTTTGTAGCTTTCCTCATATAGATTTTGTACATGTTTCCTTAGATTTATACCTAAGTATTTCATTTTTGTGGGTGCTAAAGCAAATAATATTGTGTTTTTAAACTTCAAATCTCACATGTTCATGGTTGGTATATAGGAGAACAATTAATTTTTGGATATTAAGCTTACATCCTGAAACCTTGCTATAATAGCTTATTAGTTCCAGAAGGATTTTGTCAATTCTTTCAGATTTTCAACATTGACAAACATGTTATCTACAAATAAGAACAGTTTTATTTCTTTCTTCTCAATCTATATATTTCTTATTTCCTTTTCTTTCCTTTTTGCTAGCTAGGACTTAGCGTATGGTATTGAAAATATCCTCCACATCATGTGTCATTAGGGAAAGGCAAATTAAAACAACAATGAGATACCAATATACATCTATGAGGATGGCTAAAACCCCAAACAGTAAAAACAGTAAATGCTCGCAATGATGTGGAACACAGGAATTCTCATTCTTTCTTGGTGGAAATGTAAAATGGCACAGCCACTTTGGAAGACAGTTTTGTGATTTCTTCCAAAACTAAAGATACTTTACTATACAATCCAGCAATCACATCACCTCCTTGTTATTTACCCAAAGGAGTTGAAAACCTATATCCATATAGAAACTTGTACACAGATGTTTATAGCAGCTTTATTAATCACCAAAACTTGGAAGCTGCCAAGATGTCCTTTAGTATGTGAATGATTAAACTGTGATACATTGAGCCAATGGAGTATCATTCATATGCTAAAAAGAAATGAGCTATCAAGCCATGGAAAGGCATTGAGGAAACTTAAATTCATATTACTAAGTGAAATAAGGCAACATTAAAAGGCTACAGACTATATTATTCTAACTATATGACATTCTAGAAAAGGCAAAACTATGGAGACAGTAAAAAGATCGGTGGGTTTCCAGGCGTTAGGGGCAAGGGAGGCGTGAATATGTAGAGTACAGAGGAATTATAGGGCAGTAAAAATACTGTGTGATAGTATAATGATGGATACATGCCATTAATACATTTGTTCAAATTCACAGAACGAATGTACAACACCAACGTAAACTATGGACTCTCAGTGATAATGATGTGTCAGTGTAGTTCATCAGTTGTAACCAATTTATCACTTTGGTGGGAGATGTTTATAACTGGGGAGACTATGCATATGTAGGGTATAAGGTTTATGAGATATCTCTGTATCTTTCTGTCAATTTTCTTGTGAACCTAAAATTGCTCTCAAAATTATCTTTTAAAAAATCATAACAGGCCGGGCATGGTGGCTCACATCCGTAATCCCAGCACTTTGGGAGGCCAAAGCAGGCTGATCATGAGGTCAAGAGATCGAGATCATCCTGGCCAACATGGTGAAACTCCGTCTCTACTAAAAATACAAAAATTAGCTGGGTGTGGTGGTGCACGCCCATAGTCCCAGCTACTCAGGAGGCTGAGGGAGGAGGAGGTTGCAGTGAGCAAAGATCATGCCACTGCACTCCAGCCCAGCTACAGAGGGAGACTCCGCCTCAAAAAAAAAAAGAAAAAATAGTAACAACTACCATTTACTGAATTATTCATCTATACTAAGTACTGGAAGCCATCATTTAATTCTCTTTCAACATTTAATTGTCACAACCACACTATGAGAAAAATACTACAACCTTAATTTTATAGAAAAGTAAAGCTTCAAGAGGTTGTACACTTTTCCTGAAGTATACAGCTAGCAACCCATAAAGATGGGGTTCTAGCTCAGGAGTTGACAGGTTTGTTGTTTTGTTTTCTGTAAAGGGCCAGACAGTAAACATGTTTGGCTTTGTGGGTCATCTGGTCTCTGTCACAACTAAACAAGCACTCTACTGTGCCACTGTAGCATGAAAGTGGCCAAAGATAATATGGAAACTAATGAGCAGGACTGTGTTTCAACAAACCATTATTTATAAAAATAAGCAGTAGATAAGATCTGGCCTGCAAGCTATAATTTTCTGACTCCTATTCTTGCTCAAGACTGATCTAAGCTTCTTGACTCCGATTTCATGAAAATATGTCTTTTATATTTTTACATCCCCATGCAACATCTAGCACACCGACCATGTTTGCCTAGGCACTCAAAAAATATTTGTTGATGGAATGACCAATAAATATGACTAATACTAAATACCAAAAAGTCAACTAATACTTATTGGGCATCTACTATTTCCTAGGCACTGTTATAATCACTTGATATATGTCACTGAACAAAACAGAAATCCTTGCCTATGAGGAGCTTAAAATTTATAAATCTCCAACTTGTATAGCATAATTATATGGGTTTCATATTACTGCCATCACAAATTACTGCCATCACAAACATAGTGGCTTAAAACAACACAATTCTGTTATCTTACTGTTTTGTAGGCGAGAAGTCCAACATGAGCCTCACCAGGCTAAAATGAAGGCATTAGCAGGGCTGTGTTCCTTTTTGGAGGATCTAGTGGAAGCTTTGTTTCCTCCCTCATTATGGTTCTTGGCAGAATTCATTCTCTAAACACAGTTCCCAGTGTCTCAGAACTAGCAACTTGGTGTTGAATCATTCTCCTGCTTGCATCTTTCTTTCTGACTACAGCCAGGAACTGTTCTCCAATTTTAATGACCTGTGTGATTAAATTAGGCCTACTTGGATAATCCAGTATAATCTCCCCATCTCGAGTTCTTTACTTTTAGTCACATTTGAAAAGTCTCTTTTGTCATGTAAAGTAACGTATTCACAGGTGCCAGAGATTAGGACATGGGCATCTTTTGGGGGACATTATTTTGTCTACCACAAATACCATCATAGAATTTCATATTAAATCTGATGAATTTGATCTTTGCCAATGGATCATACTTCTAGTGAGTCAATATATGATATAAATAATAAATTATGTAATTATAAATATAATTATAAATCAATATGTGTGATAATTCATTAATATCAGATAGAAAAAATTACACTTTCCCCAGCCTTGCTCAAATCTGTAGATTTGAGAATTGCTAATGCTCAAGCCAGTTCTAAATAATGCCAGCAGTTTTCAAAGACTCTTACCTAAAATTAAAAACATAAAAACAAGTCTTTTTATCATAAGCCTGATGTATCTTGAATGAAATCTACATTTTGAACACACACTGTACATTATTAGCTCCTGCCTAAAAATAAGATTCCTACATGTCATTGAACTGAAGCACTGTCCCTGCCCTTGCCATGTTAGCTCAGGCCACTTGACTGGGCCTCTGCCTTAGCTTTATGATTTGCCTTTCAGTCCCCTAACATCGACTAGAATTTTAGCTGCAAAGCTGTCATCTTCTCTGATCCTTACCAATCCCCCCTACTGCATTTACATCCCAGGCACTGGTCAGGTCTTCCTCCAACTGAGATGGACAATATCAATCATAATGCAAGACTTTTAGCTCCAGGAGAGTTACTCTCTGGTTTGCCCAACCTTTTATTCATTGACAGGATCTAAACTGGCCCAAATTCCCCTAAGCCACAACATTGAGGCTTGGTCTACTCATCACTCTAGCTTCTCAACCTTAGGCCTACCCTTAAAGCTAGCCTAGTTCCCAAAATACAACCCTATGTATATAATTTGTCTTCCTTAATGGCTCTACCATCTACCCATGGTCAAATTAAAAACCTTAGAGTAATATTCAATTCCACTCTGCCTTTATCCCCAACTTTAAGTCACCATATTGTACTGATCACCATGGAACAAAGCATAGAGAAAGAGGACTGGCAGGGGAAATAACAGTTTCTGTTAGAGAAAAAAGCCTACTTTTCACCCTGAGACATTCAGCAACCCTTGGCAATGAAGCACCCTCAGGTCAGGAGAGAATGTTCTTTATGATCTCTGGAATGAAAGGAGACTTTTGAAAGTTCTGCTTCTGGTTCAAGTAGAAAGAATATTAATCTTAGAGTTGTAAAGACCTGGTTTCTTTTATAGGCTTTGCTGCCTATTTTGATTATTTTTTCAACTAGGAAATGCAAATAACACCTACCTCATGGAGTTGTTTTGAAAATTAAATAAGGTAATGAGTATGAAAGCACTTTGTAAAATGCGTGTATCAGCTGTTATCATTATGATTATCCCACTAATGCCCCCCTGTCTCCACTGCAACAAATATCACAACTGTTCAGGGTAAGGAGTGAATATTATAAGCTAATCATTCAGATTCATTCAAAAGACCATTCATTTTTGTTTTATCATATTAGCAGAGGTTATTTTACTCTAATCCTGTCCATCAAGTTACATTTTGGACAGAGCTCAGTCTAATCCAACCTGCCAATATTTGGCTTGGCTCTACTTAAAGATTCATTCAACCACCTTCTCTGAAAGCACAAGCCAACATTTGTGTATGTTTGAATCATAAATCATATGCTAACAAGATGCCAAAAGCAGTCACCTCTTTTATGAATCAGTCATTGATTCCCAAGACTGAATTAGCCCTTTCTTCTTCTATTTTCCATCATATCTTGCCAACCCTGTGATAGCATTTGTAATATGGCATTATAATGGTGTCTTTGATATTCTACAAGAGATTGTGGCAACTCTAGGGTACAGATTTAGTCTTTTTATTCTCATTCATGACACAGTAGATAGCCAATACGTGTTTATTAAAACAAAGGAGGGAGTAGAAGGAGATCCACATTATAGGGGAAATTACCCCTTAAATAGTCACATTACTCTAGCATATTTTAGGTATGTAGGAATTTCAAATAAAGGAGAAGCAAAATAAAGAAAAAACATTCTTTCCAAAAATCTCCAGTTTACTTTTCTATAGCATGTTTAAGAGGTGTTATCAGTTGTTTGTAAGTGCAATATAAATTAGGTTAATTATTACAAACACTTTGCATTAGAGATATGTGAAAGAAGAAGCAGTTTATTTGAATCTCTCAGCTCTTGAGTGATATGTCCTGTGACTTCTGGAGAAGGAGATAGCTTAAGTTTTATTTAGAGAAAAATCTAGCATTACATCTAGAATATAGATGTGCTGGTGAGAAGCAAGATCAGAGAGGGAGGAAATTTTCTTATTTGGAAAGTTGTTCCTGACACCTTACACTAAAATTAACTCCAGATGGATTAAAGACTTAAACATAAGACCTAACACCATAAAAACCCTAGAAGAAAATCTAGGCAAAACCATTCAGGACGTAGGTGTAGGCAAGGACTTCATGACCAAAACACCAAAAGCATTGACAAAAAAAAGCCAAAATAGACAAATGGGACCTAATCAAACTCCACAGCTTCTGCACACCAAAAGAAACAATCATCAGAGTGAATCAGCAACCAACAGATTGGGAAAAAATGTTTGCAGTTTACCCTTCTGACAAAGGGCTGATATCCAGAATTTACAAAGAACTAAAACAGAGTTATAAGAAAAAAACTAACAAGCCCATTCAAAAGTGGGCAAAGGATATGAACAGACACTTTACAAAAGAAGACATACGTGAGGCCAACAAACATATGAAAAAATGCTCATCGTCACTGGTCATCAGAGAAATGCAAATCAAAACTACATTGAGATACCATCTCACGCCAGTTAGAATGGCGATCATTAAAAAATCTGGAGACAACAGATGCTGGAGAGGATGTGGAGAAATAGGAACACTTTTACACTGTTGGTGGGAGTGTAAATTAGTTCAACCATTGTGGAAGATAGTGTGGCGATTCCTCAAGGACATAGAAATTCCATTTGACCCAGCAATCCCATTACTGGGTATATATCCAAAGGATTACAAATCGTTCTACTATAAGGACACGTGCACACGAACGTTCATTGCAGCACTGTTTACAATAGCAAAGACCTGGAACCAACCCAAATGCCCATCGACGATAGACTGGATAGGGAAAATGTGGTACATATACACCATGGAATATTATGCAGCCATCAAAAACGATGAGTTTGGGTCCTTTGTAGGGACATGGATGAACCTGGAAACCATCATTCTCAGCAAACTGACAGAAGAGCAGAAGATCAAACACCGCATGTTCTCACTCATAGGCAGGTGTTGAACCATGAGAACACATGGACACAGGGAGGGGAGCACTACACACTGGGGTCAGTTGGGGGGAAATAGGGGAGGGACGGTGGGGGGTGGGAAGCTGGGGAGAGATAGCAAGGGGAGAAATGCCAGATGTAGGTGATGGGAAGGAAGGCAGCAAATCACACTGCCACGTGTGTTCCTATGCAACAATTTTGCATGTTCTTCACATGTACCCCCAAACCTAAAATGCAATAAAATAAATAAATGGGGGAAAAAAAAAGAATTTTCATTACATACTTTCAAATAATAACATCACCTATCTTGATATCATATAATCCCTTCTTGGTTCATTGATATTTAAGTTTAAAATTAGCCCAAGTAACCCTTAGATTAAATACAAATGAAAATTCTGTGCTATAGCATACACTTTTTAAGGCACTGCTACCATTGGAAAATACGATTCTCCTGAGTTCCTGAGTTAGGTAAGGGGTCAGGGCTTCAATGACTACCCTACTGCGCTTCAGTCATGCATCACAAATGTCGACATGTACCCCTGAGAGTCTTGTTGAAATGCAGATTCTGATTCAGTGGGTATGATTCAGTGGATCCAGGTCATGTACAAAGTCTAACTTTTTAACATTTCCAACAATTTCCCAGGTGATGCCCAAGCTCCTGATGTGTAACCTACATATTGAGTAAGAAAGTTATCCTAGACATGGTGATTTTTTAAAATTCACTATCAGTGACAATTTTTAAGGTAAACTATTACTGTATTTCCCCTATGTCAGTGGTTATGAAAATTTTTCCCACTTAACACCTTTTACTTGAGAGAATAACAGCCTTGAAAATAATAAACAGCCTTGAAACATTGAAGCTTTTAGTCCAAATTTAATCACTATGTAAAATGTGGCTTATGTAATGATTAAGAAATGATAATGTCCTTGGCAGATGAGGTAAATTATGTTTAAGCTACATTTTCTTTCTTCAAAAAGCCCTTTTCTATGGCTCAACATGGGAATAAAAGGGATTTCTCATCTCATGTGAGCATTTCCCATAATGAGATAGCTCTTGTGATAATTTAACTGACTAGGAAAGCCAATCCAGACAGCCCTTAATCAGCAATGACAAATTGAAACACCTTAAAAGTAAAAGAAGTTGTGTTTTCCAGTACTTGCCATATTAAATTTTAGCCATGCCCTAGAGTTATAAAACTGCTTCTTCATCAATCCATTCTCCATGCCACTAACATTACATATTTTGGCTGAGCATTCAAGAGTAGAAATTTTAAACTAATGATAGAAGAACTACAGTCCCTAGACAGCATACATTCTTCCATGGCAGAATTTAAAATCTGCAAGCCTTCACACTCAGTTTGAAAGCTTTCCCTCTCATTTTCAACTTCTCACTAATCCTCATGTATTCTGTTTCCTCCCTACCATAATCAGTTGATAGGCTATATAAAGTTGTGGATAAAGTAAATTTTATGAGAAAAATTATATATATATTGTACTTTAGGTTCTGGGGTACATGTGCAGATAATGCAGGATTGTTGCATAGGTACACACATGGCAATGTGGTTTGCTGCCTCCATCCCCCTGTCACCTATATCTGGCATTTCTCCCCATAAATTATATTTTAAGTGCACTTTACAAAAATTACTTTTTGTGATGAATTCTATGCAAAGAAATAAATCATTCTTTGTAAACAATCATTCCCCAAATATCTGTTAACAATGTTTTCAAGTTCTTTTCTCATTATTTTAAAGCTGAATATGTCTGTACTTTCATTTTATGCATCACTTTAAGTATTTTTGTTTTGTTTAATTCGACAAAGGGAAACTAACACCCATGAGACTGGTGAAGGATCTGGGGCTAACAAGAGGAGGAGGTGGCTACCAGTAGTAGGGCTGAAAGTGTAAGAGGAGAGATCCATTATCTAGAACCCAGGAAGACCTGTGGTTAAAGGAAAGTGACACCCTGTGCCCTTGAAGACAGGAACACAGCCACTTCCCTTCCACTCACCAAACCCAACACTGAATTGACAATGTCAACAGAGGTCAGACTCCTAAAGCACAGAGCAGGAAAGCAGGGTAGAAAAGCATGGAGATAGAACTTATAAGGCTGTAAAAAGTGTACTGGGCACAGTGGCAGGTATTGATAACATATAGAAAATAGGAGAATTGTGGGAACATTTACTTACTGAATGTTGAGACCATTAATCCTTTTCCCACAGTCAGCTCCAGAATTTCAGTAGTCAAGCTTCAATACTCCAGGCAGGAGATTGGATGGTTCATCTCTGGGGGATGAAAAAGAAATGAAAAGCTAAATTAAATGTTGGAAGATAGAATTGAGAAAAAAATTCCTTAATATAAACCAAAAAGATGAAGAAATGAAAAATCAGAGAAAAAGATAAGAAAAGTGAGGATGAAGCCAACAGTTCTAGAATTCAACGTGAATAAACAGTTATAGAGTCCCAGCACGTGAAGGGTGATAATGAAGGTGAAGAAATTATTTAAAAAAAAAAAATTCAGCAAAACTTTCCAGATGGATTTCCAGATTGGAAAGACTTGCCAGCTATGCAGCACAATAGATTAAATCAGGCCCACACCAAGGAAACTTTACCATAGAATTTAAGATCACTTAGAAAAACTGAAGATAATGTGAACTTCCAGAAAGGGAGAAAAAACAGGTCATATACAAAGAATCAAACATGAGACTATTTCTGACTTTTTAACAGAAAAATAAGAAGCCTGTAGGCAATGGAGCAATATCACCAAACTTTTGAAGAAACACAATACCCAACCTATAATTCTATACTCAGCCAAATTATCAATTAAAAGGCTTTTTCAGATATTCAAAAACTCAAAATTTTATCTCCTAGGATCTCTTTCTCATTTGGTTACTGAAAAATGTGTTATATCAAACTGAAGAGTGTAAACCAGAATACAAGAGGAAATAGAACACAGGAAACATAAAACTCAGAAAAAAAGATATCCCAGAATAACCTATATGCACCATGCAGGGAAAATAACCAGTTCAATTTAGAGAGATTTTTTTCAGAAAAAATAAAACGCCTGAATGCATTAGGGAGAAACTTAGATAATTAATTAGGGAGATAAGTTTTGTTAGTGATAAGTATACATAAAACTAGGTATAAGTTTCGTTAGTGATAAGTATATATGAAACTAAGTAACTATAACATAAGGCAATTATTAGTTTCCGAAAAAAATATTTTGCAAAATACAAAGAATCGCAATATATGATGCAACTCAGTTACAAATACTGTTTACACAGTTACACTAATATAAATATTGAAGATTGAAGATTGCACTAATTTACAAATAGGAAGTCTGGATATGTGAGGATGGAGAAAAAAAGAGAATGGAGTTTTCATTTTTCTTTGTGGAATGTCAATCAATAATATTTATACCCAGAAAATCAAGAAGTAGGAAGAAAAGCATGTTATTTAGGGAAATGGAGGTAAATACTCAAAAGACATAGCTAAATGATTATTTTAGTTTTCTGTATAATTTGCATACAAATAATAAGTAGCTATATTTTTCTGCATTCAAAATTTAATGAAATTTTTAAATTAAATTTAAAATATAAAAATCAATTTCAAAATTTTAAAGATAAATAATATATTTCTGTCACTTCTGAGGTATGATAGATCACAAATTACAGCATGCAATTCTTGTCTTTGTTTATGTGATTATTTTTTAACATATTTAATTGCAAAGGGAAATGTTTGCTATTCTAATTATTTCATAAAACATTATTAAACCAAATGTTAGCATTAAAGTAAATGATTCCTCTTATTCTTTTGTTTATTAAAACATGAATAAAGAACCTAGATGCATCTTTGAAGACTTCTACAATTTCTTACATTGATTAATCTTTGTACCATGTTTAGATTATTATGACTTGAAATTCTTCTTGAAAGTTGACATTACCCTTAATGAAATACTGGAAGTTTGAAATAATGGAAATTCCTTGCTATATAATAGATGAAAATTATAAATCTTTTTTTTCTAAGACTGACTTTCTTTGTCAAGACTTTGATGAACAGTTTCTAATAATGACATTTTCCCAGGACAATTTGAAGATTATACTTTAGAATTCTTAATTAAGTTCTGTTGCTTCAACATGCCAACACTATAGCACATCAACAATGTGAATTTTCTCCTCCACTTTGTATAATGCCTCTTAAAATCTATGACAGGAAAAATTTATCTTGCTCACTTCACCAATCTCCTAACTAGGAAAAAAAGAAGAGGATATAGCTTCATACTATGCTTAGAGAGTGGATAGAAACTGAGAAGTATGCTAAGAAAATATAAAGATTTACCTAAAATTCATTTGCATAGTAATTTGAAAAGAATATATGTCCATGACTATTTAAGTTATGAAAAAATGAATAGGAGAATTGACATGGAAAAACATAATTATCAATTCCAAATCAAAAGATGAAAAAATAATATCAAGCTCTTTGATTCACATTTTATATGTATTCGTTTATATATTCCTAAAAACAAGTGTATAAATAAACACTATTACTATAGTAACCTATTTTACAAATAATGAAACTGAGACATGAAAGTGAAGAAATTTACCCTGCTAGAAAGTTGTAAATATGGAAGGCAAACCCAAACATCTTTGAGCAGAAACTATCTTTCAAGTCACTATTCTAAAACAATTTATATTTAACTTTTAGCTAATTATGGTATTTCAACAGATTCTATTTGCGTAGTATAAATATAAGAACAGTTTATCTTTCTCCTCATTCATTTTCAACTTCAATGCTGTAATGCATTTTCTTCAATGTTTGTGATCCAGCCCTAACCTAGCTTTGTTTAAGAAAAAAAAAAAAAGAAAAAAGAAAGAAATTGGAGCCAAGATGACCAACTAGATGCAGCCAGGAAGAGCTTCGACCACCAAGAGAGACCAGACCATCAAGTAGACTGGGATATTCTGAACAGATTTTCAGAAAGAAGGCATTAAGAGTGGGCATACAACAGGTGCAAATCCCAGGATGATAGGGGAGGAGGCTGGAAACCCTGCAGGGGGTTGCCAAGCACCTGTTCCTGGCCCTGAGAACCTCCTAGGAAAGAGTTGAGTGAAATGGGTACAGAATGGCCCACTTTCACCATGAACCTTCATGATCCTAGCTATAGGAGATGCCACAATTCCCAGGCACATTTGAGTTGGCAGCGAGAAATGCCTAGCAAGTTGGCAGAGACAGCACTCCAGCCTGTGTGGAGCCCAGAAGGTTTGGCATGGGATTGGCTGCATTGGAGCATGGCCATGGGCACCCATCCCCCAAGACTTGCCATACTTCCCTAGGTGACTTTAGACTTTTTGTTATTAATAGCTGCCAGATCTAGACAGAGCAAGGCTGTCTTACTGGTGAGAGAGGGGCAGTGTGATCTGAGAACCCCCTGTCTCCTGGTCTTTCCTAGGATCCCTGCCTGGCTGAAGCCACTTGCAGCACAACTACTGCCATAGCTCTTTCACCAGCATACCCCACCTAACCATTGGAGTGCTTTTGCAAATGGACATCCACCAGCAGACATTGACCCACAGCCTTCCCCTGCCAGTGTGCAATTACCCGCAACCTCTCCCCACTGCCCTGCCAGCACAAACGTGTGTGCAGACCTGCCACCACCTTGCCAACCCATATGTGCATGGGAGCCCACCACTGTACCACCGGAGTGCTTTTCCTAGCAGCCCCATGTTGTTGTGTTGTTCCTAGCAGACTGGGAGCACTTTGACCTCTCCAGCGTATCAGGTGCTTAACCTCAAAAAAAAAACCATACGGGTCTGGTACCAGCCTCTTGTGGTTACAGCATGTAGCCCAGTAGTGCTGAGTTGAGTCTGGGCCTCCTGAAAGCATCCAGAAATGCAGCCAATTGACTAAGCCTAACCTACACTGCAGTTAAACCCTCAAGGACCTCAATATAAAAGCAAAAAGGCTCATCCAAAAGACAGCAACTTCAAAGTTTGAAGGAATATCAGCCCACACAGATGAAAAAGAATCAGTGCAAGAACTCTGGCAACTCTAAAAGTCAAAGTGTCTTCTTACCTCCAAACTACTGCACTAGGTCCCTAGCTCTGGTTCTTAACCAGACTGAAATGGCTGAAATGACATAAAATTCAGAATCTGTATGGCAAGGAAGCTCATCAACATACAGGATAAGGTTAAAACCCAATCCAAGGAAAACAGTAAAATGGTCCAAGAGTTGAAAAATGACACAGCCATTTTAAGAAAGAACCAAACTGTACTTCTGGAAATGAAAAATTTACTACAGGAATTTCAGAATGCAATTGGAAGCATTAATAACAGAATAGACAAAGCTAAGGAAAGAATATCAGAGCTCAAAGACAGTTCCTTCTAATTAATGCAGGCAGAATACAATAAAGATATAAGAATTTTTTAAATGAACCAAACCTCCAAGAAATGTGGTACTATTTAAAGAAATCAAACCTACAAATCACTGGCATTCCTAAACAAGATGGAGAGATAGAAAGACATTTGGAAAACTTATTTGAAGATATTGTCCACAAAAATTTTCCTAACCTTGCTAGAGAAGTCAACATGCAAATTCAGAAAATTGAGAACCCTTGCAAGATACTATACAAGATGATCATCCCCAAGACACATAGTCGGCAGATTCTCAAAAGTCAATGTGAAAGAAAAAATCTTAAAGACAGCTAGAGAGAATGGACAGGTCACATAAAAAGGGAACACCATTAACAGTAGACCTTTCAGCAGAAACCTTATAAGCCAGAAGAGATTGGGAGACTATATTCCGCATCTTTAACCTCTTTCCCATTTAGAAAAAAAGAATGCAGCTCACTGCCAATGCTCATTTAATTTTGTATAAACATGCTCCTTGAGGCTGAAGCACATCTGACTGATTTTCAACATGAAAATAAAATATAAAAGCTTCTCTTGGAGTTATTTCTAAACAGAACTAACGTCAGAATCATTAGAATCATCTATTTCAGGAAAATCAGATCCGTCGAATGAATCTTTGGCCAATAATTGTTTGAGAACAAAGTTAACATCATGCATAGGAATGCTACATTTTCTAAAATGTGATATTCTCAGTGATCAAGAATTACTCCATTTTGTAAATGGAAATACCACTACTAAAAACAGAATGCTATAAATATAATGATGTCTTTTGTTTCTAAGTTGACACACTAGAGCAATGCAAAAATAATAATAAAAGTGAGATATTTTGTGGGAAATTTATCTCAGAGTAGCTGTAGCTGCCAGCAAGTATTCTTGGG